GGTAAGATTAGAAACTGGAATACAATACTTTGTTGAAACAGGCAGATGAGTTTTACAGTCAAGAATCTATGAAACAATATAAGATTCAAACTGGCTGATCAGCTCAAGCTAAATTGCAGCCTTTGAAACAGTACACAGTTTAAAAGAGCATATAAGTTACAAAGGTAAGATTAGAAAGTGGAAAACAATACTTTGTTGAAACAGGCAGATGAGTTGTACAGTCAAGAATCTATGAAACAATACACGAGTAAAAATATGCAGTTCGAATCGTGAAAACAAGTTACACGCTTAAACTGAAACGCTTGTTACTCTCTTGAAGTCTGTACGTGAAAAACGCAGTTAAATATTCATTGAAGACAGTTTTCTGTGATATAGCTGCATTACGTATGAAAATAATAATTATATTGTTCATAACAGAAGTGTTATATTACGGAATAAATCAAGTTCTAAGCACGTGGAGGTTAAACTATCAGAATAATGATTCATAGCGGATTCGTGTAAAATTAAAATCTCTTATACCAGTCACTCGGTGGGACAGCAGATAGTCTGATGTGGCTTTTCTATAAGAAAAACACACACACTCATAATTTTGTCACCCAGTGGCTCAGCGGTATGTCTGCGGACTTATAAAGCTAGGCTTCGATACCCGTTGTGGTCAGAGCACAGATAGTCCATTGTGTAGCCTTGTGCTGAATTTCAAACAAACAAACCCTAATACTAGCCGCTTATACAAATGTGCGCACCCCCTGCACAAATAAAAACAAATGAACTTCATTACAAGCTATGTTTGATAAACTGTGCAGCTTTTGTTTTGTTGTTCGTTTAACTTTGCCGATTTAAAGTGGATCAAACAAATATTAAACATATACATGTTTATGAATTCTCCGACACGTTTTTTTCGTTTAAAAAAAATTATAACCTAGAAAACAACTAGTTGGTTGCTCGTGTTGTAAGACTGAAAGTTCGATAACTTTCGCCATTTTTAAACATAACGCGCCACCCATGGAGATACTTTATTAAAGAAAGATGTACACATAAAATACGTTTAAGTTCTTCATAAAATGTAAGATGACATAAGCTCCGTTTGCCATAAATATATCGAGGTTTTATGTGTTTGTAGTTAAATACAAAACTACACAATGGGCTATCTGTACTCGACTCACCACAATTACCTAAGCTCGATTTCTTGAGTTATGAGTCCATATTCTTACCTCTGAGGCCCGGCATGGCCAGGTGGTTAAGGCACTCGACTCGCAATCTGAGGGTCGCGGGTTCGAATCCTCATCACAAAAAACATG